TCTTTCTGCTTTACAGAGGGCTGCTTCCTTGCTGTTTCCTCACATGGTGAAGAGGTGGGGGGACCTTTCATGACTCTCTGTTATAAGGGCACTAATTGGATTTATGAGGCCCCCCCCCCTCACTACCTTATCACCTCCCAAAGCCCCAGTTCTAAATACCATCACATTGGAATGTTGTGGATTAGGGTTTCATCAAATGAATTTTAAGGGAACACAACATTCAGTTCATAACATGGCTGGAGTGACAGCCTGCTGGGCCTGATCAGAAAGAATTCTGAAGATGGTGAATACAACGAAGAACCCATAGGGTCCAAAGGGACGGGGAGAAAGGACCGGCAGAGTGGCTTCCTTGGTTAAGAGATCGCTCAAGAGTGCGAGCTCTGAACAACAGGGTCGCCAGCTCATTCCCGGCCGGAGATGAGCTGCCGCTGAGCTGCCAACAGGTGGCAGGATGGCTCAGCTAAAAAAAAAGAAAAATGGAAGAAAATAAAGTTCTTTGTTTATATTTTCTGGCAATAAGGAGATGTACAAATTAAAACTATGAATCACCGGTTTCACTTCTAAAATCAGCAAGAAATCAGACAGTTGCTGGGACACCAGATTGGCAAAGGTTTTGGGAACCAGGCAATCTCTCACATTTGCTAGTGACAGTGCAAATTGGTACAATTATATATCCCATTTTAACTGCACAAGAAACTCTGATTCAGCAAGTCCACATATTAGGATCTATCTTATAGAAATATTTGCCCTAGTAGAAAATGACACATGTATTAGGATATTAGTTGCAGCATTGTTGTAATGCAAAAGCTTGAGAGAAATCTAAAGTCATCTAGCAGACACTCTAATATAAATCATGGGACATATGTATAAAGGAATACTCTATAGTCACTAAAAGAAAGAGGGAAACACTATTTTTCTCATATGAGCAAATCTCCAGATTTATTATAAAGTGAAAAAAGAAAGATGCAAAAACTCTAGTAATCTAACTTATCACATGGGAAAAATAAAAATTTGTTCCAACCTACTATTGCCATGAAACTTTGCCTCTTTATTTGCTCACCAGGATAAAATACCTTTTTTTTGAGGTCGGTACAACTCTAGCAAATGCCCAGCTTCTGTTCAAACCAACAGGGCCAATCTAATCCTTCATTCCAAGCCACCTTTCCCAGTTGGACCCCAATGTGGGACAAGGTTTTGGATGTAGTCAATGCTTATTAAACACTTGTCCAATAGATAAAAACCTGATTGACTTGCAATAACTCTAACATACAAATTAGTCAGAAAATATTACTTGAACTAAATGATTTCCTCTTTCAAAATGGAAAGTATGTTATTATATGTGTATTTCTATGATTAAAAAATAACATTCACTGAAAATAAATTAATAAAGCACACAAAACTACAAAAATAATCTTTAATTCCTTTAGTGACCTAGAAATGTTGTTAATTTTAGTGTACATATTTTTCTAGGGTTTTGTCTATATCTTATTAATTTATAAGATTTTTAAAAAGACTCCTATTCTACATACCACAAGTTAAACTATTCTTACAAACATTTCCAAGTTTATGTGCATGCAATAAATCTGGAAAAGGGTTGGGAGGCTTGGCAAGAATTTCTGTTCACAAAGTTCACAACAACATTTAGTTGTCTTGGAGCTTTTTTTTGGTTTCCTGACATAAGCAAAAGCCTTTATTGGTCAGAGCCAAAGCAGCTGATTTCTTAACATTAGTCCAATTTCAAAGTAGTCTGCTCTGCTTTACTTTCATTTTCACTTGTATTAATAGAAAGTAAAGTATCAAATGTTGTCCTAAAATTGACACCAGAATTCCACATTCATGATGAGGCGAGGATAAACTTTCGACCTCATCGTATACAAAATATTAATCAGACAGAAAGTTGGGAAAGGCAAGAGGGGAGATAGGTAGATTTGTTGAGTTTTTTCCCGATTTCCGTCAGATGAGAGTTGCATATAGACACAAATGTATTGACATACTGGTCATTTTTGCATGTAAGCCTATATTGCTGATAGCTTGGGGGTAAGAATATAAATTTTAGATCAGATTTTTTTTTTTCAGCTGAGCCATCCTGCCACCTGTTGGCAGCTCAGCGGCAGCTCTGCTCGGGCCGGGAATCAAACTGGTGACCCTGTTGCTCAGAGCTCGCACTCTTGAGCAAGCTCTTAACCAACGGAGCCACTCACATGGCCCTAGATCAGGTTTTAAATTGTCCAGATGTTCCACAAAAGTGTCCAAATTCTGTTTGCTAACCGTGACATGAAAGAGGCAACAGTTTTCTTTTCTGTTGTTGTTTTTCCCTGTTTCTGAGGCAGAGCATTTATAATGAAATATCCTAAGGAGCCTTGTGATTAGTGTAAGAACGTTGACCATAATTTTTCACCTTTTAAATTAAAGCATAACATAGACATAAAAAAGTGCTCAGATCAAAAGTGTACAGTAGGTAGAATACACAAGACAAGCCCATCCCTGTAATTATTGCCTCGGTTAAAAATCAGAGAGCACTCCCAAATCACAGAACCGTTCCTGTGCCCCTTCTACCCAATAACCTCTCCATCATGTTCAAGGACATGCACTCTGCTTTCTGTTTTCATCAGGGACTAAGGTTGCCTGTTTGTGAACTTTATATAAATAAAAATGAACAGCATGCATTCTGTTTTGCCTAGTTTATTTTACCCAGCATTATGATTGTGAGATTAATTCATGTTGCTGCGTTGAAGTGTAGTTTGTTTACTTTCAAACTACATTGTACAAACTACATACTACGTACTACTGCATTGTACAATATACCACAGTTCATTTAGCTGTTTTACTGTGTGTGGACATTTTGGTTACATTGGGTTTGCAGCTATTATACATATTGCTGCTATGATCTTTACAATTTTTTTATGCACATGTGTCCACATTTCTGCTGGATGTATACTTAGGAGCAAAGGGGCCCAGTCATAGGGAAAGTAAGTTCAATTGAAGCAGATGATTCCAAACAGTTTTCCCCAGTGTACCGGAAATCATCTTAAAACTTATAATGGTTTCTAAAAGAGAAATAGTTTTTCTGGAGTCTTACTCATCTGAAAGAATTTGTGTGTATTTAATGATTCTACCTCTTCATAGTGGCAGATAATAAATATAGTTTATATTTGTTTGGGAATGATGAAGTCAAGACGACGAGGAAAATAACGTGTGGAATGAGCTTTGTTATGAACAGAAATGTCTGATTCAAGGGTCTCTGCATGACATCCCAAGAAGCAGGAGGTGTAAGATGTCTGGAGAGGAGAGAAGAGGAAGAGGAAGAAGATAAGACAGGAGAAGGCAAAGAAATAGGTAGAGAAGAACAGAGGATGCTGGCTCTGACAAGCTGGTGAAATGTACTGGATGTATAATCTTAGGCAAAACTGTGCACCGTATTAAAAAGCAGCTCTTCTCAGTTACAAGACTTCATGCCCTGGAGGTTTGGTCATATCCTACAATTTGGGAAGGATAATTCCTGGGGTAGCTGGCCAGCCACCCTCTGACCTAACTCTGGTGTTCAGGGTGGGGCTGGAGCACCTCAAGTTACATGGAAGAAGCCCACCTACAAGCAGAATCCAGGACAT